CGTGACGCAGATGGAACAGTTACAAGGAACAAGGCAATATTGGTGGTTCAAGGATATAGTCAAGAGGAAGGCATAGACTATGATGAGACTTTTATTCCAATTGCAAGATTAGAGGCAATTAGACTCCTTATAGCCTTTACTGCTTATATGGAATTCACTCTCCATCAGATGGATATCAAGAGTGCCTTTCGCAATGGCTATCTAAATGAAGAAGTGTTTGTCAAGCAACCTCCGGGCTTTGAAAGCAAGGAATGTCCTGATAATGTGTACAAGCTTGACAAGGCACTTTATGGGCTCAAGCAGGCTCCAAGAGCATGGTATGAAATATTATCAAAATTCTCGCTTGAGCATGGCCACAAGAGAGGTAAAATTGATAATACTTTATTCTTGAAAGAAAAAGGAAAAGATCTCTTGATAGTTCAGATATATGTTAATGATATAATCTTTGGAGCAACTACTGATAAGTTAAGTAAAGAATTTTTTAAACTAATGGGGAGTGAATTTGAAATGAGTATGATGGGTGAGCTTAATTATTTTTTAGGCTTACAAATTAAACAAAATTCAAATGAAACTATGATCGATCAACATAAGTATATGAAAGAGTTACTTAAAAGGTTTAAAATGGAAGGTTCCAAAAATATTGACACTCCTATAGCAACAACCACAAAATTGGATATAGATGAACCTGGTTCATCTGTTGATCAGAAGTTGTATAGGGAAATGATTGGTTCTTTGTTATATCTCACTGCTAGCAGACCTGGCATTATTTTCAGTGTAGGCCTTTGTGCTAGATTTAGGGCAAATCCAAAGTAGTCTCACTTGACTACTGTCAAGAGGATCTTGAGATACATAAAATGCACCACTGACCTTTGTCTATGGTATCCAAAAGGTAGTAATTTCAAGTTAGTGGGATATACTGATGCTGATTATGTAGGGTTTCTTGTGGATAGAAAGTTCACCTCAGGTATGGCACACTTTCTTGGCTCATGTCTTGTGTCTTGGGCCACCAAAAAGCAATATTATGTGGCCTTATCTACTGCTAAGCTGTGTATGTTACTGCTGCCTCATGTTGTGCTCAATTGTTGTGGATCAAATAACAATTAATGAACTTTGGAATTGATGTAGGTTGTATTCCCATCTTTTGTGATAACACCAGTATACTTAGTATGACCAAGAACCCGGTTTATCATAAAAGAACTAAACACATAGATGGGAGGCATTACTTTTTGAGGGACAATTATGAAAAGGGTTTGATCACTGTGAAATTTTGTGCTACTGACAAGAAAATAGTTGACATCTTCACAAAAGCAATAAGTAGAGATCACTTTGAAAGGAACATGTTAGAATTAGGGGTGATTAAGATCACCTAAAAGGAAACAGTTCAAACTCAAAAAATTGGTTAGAAAATCTATGAATTTTTGTACATAATTAGATTAGATTTTGCTCAGTCTCATACTTTCATCAGTATACTCTTGTGCCATGTGCTAAAATTTTTCATTAATCTCTAATGATATTATCCTTATTTTCTTGAAAAATTCAGACTTACACAAGATATTTCTCAGTGAAGAGCCTGGTTCATCAAGATTACATGGTACGCACTCTCCACTCTGCATATTTTAAAATAATTATATTTGGATTATGATCAAATGGAGAGTCCCATTTAATCCTAACCTCCTTGAGCTTATCCGTTACGAAATGAACCAGTTTCATTCAAAAGAGTCCCAAAAATGCAATAAGTGCCTAGATTTTAGGGAGAGTCATAAATGTCTCTTCAAACTGACTCCCAGTTTGATTAGACCTCTGAACTTCTAAAAAAGCAGTTGTTACCCAATTAAACTCTTCCTCTTTATACTGATTAGGACTTAGTTGTTTCTTCACTTGAAAATTTCCAAGTCGTCAAACAATTCTTTCTATCTTCTCTCACCTTCCAAACACACACATACTCATCTTCTCTCATACTCAAACACAGTAATGGCAAACTCTTCTAGGAACCTCTCAAGGACCTATTGAGAAAAGTGTCTGACAACTACAATCCTAAAAAGAAAAGAAGTTCAGCAGTTAAAATTCCTGGCACTGCGAGGACAAATAAGAAAAGAAAGGTTTCCTCTTCTATCCTTGTAGTGACTCCTTGTACAAGAGGAAGAGCCACAAAAAGTCAGAAGAAGTAGAGTGAGGCTGAAGTGGAAAAGGCCCTAGAAGAAAGTAAGAGAAAAGTTGCTACAAAGGGAAAGAAGAAGGTGGTTCCAAAGGCAAAAAGGATCAAGACTCCCACAAAGAAGTCTGTTTCAAAGACAAAGTCTGCAGGGCCTTCTACCTTGGCTAAAAGAACCAGGTCTGCCTTGAAGTCCAGAAAAGCGAAAGTAGTGGAAGAAGAAGAAGGGAGTGAAGAAGAAGAAGAAGCATCTGATGCAGAGAAGGACAAGATGGTTAAGTTTGGCAAACGAACCATCTTGAAAGGTAGACTCCTCACGAACTTAGAAGGAGGAAGGCATGAAGATGTTGTTGGAAAAGTTACAACTGCAGGGTTGGAAGGACATGGTCCTTTAGATGGATGGAAAGCTTGCCAGAACTGAGATTGTGGAGTTCATGGCAAACTGTGAGTTCAAGAATGGCAGAGTCACTAGTGTGGTAAAGGGGGTGACTGTGAACTTTGATTACAAGGAATTGGGAGAAATTCTGGGAGTACGTGTTGAAGGGTACAATGACTACAAAAAGTTAAAATGGCCAAGCCTAGAAAACCTCGCCACATCACTTTCCATTACAAGGAAGTTTGGTGACATTGAAGAAGAGCTTCAGCCTAAGGCTATATACAAAAGTGAGATGAAGCCACCCCATAAAGTGTTGTTATAATTTGTTAGCAAAGTTGTGCTTCCTAGGCAGGAAAGGAGGCATATTGCCACATTCATGGACCTGGTCCTTATGGAATGTCTGGACAGTGGAAGGCAAATCAATTGGCCTTGATTTATCATCCAACTTCTTGATAGGGTTTTGACTGGCACCAAAACTCATGTCATACCCTATGATTTTATTCTCATGGATGTACTTGTACATTTCAAGGTACCCATCAATAAATGGGAAGTTGGTACAAGCAAGGATCACTTTAGGGAACACTTTGACTGCTTATGATTATGAAGTCCACATCACTCCCAAAGAACCTGGTTCATCCAAGAAGGTACCTATGAACAGCAAAGTGTGAGCCTTGGTGCAAGCAAGTGGGGTAAAGAATACTGAAATTGAAAGGCTGAAGAAGATGTTGGCAGAAGTAGAAACTCATAGATATTCTCTTAGAACTGAGCTTGCAAAGGGAAAAGAGAAGAATGATGGCATTCTTCAAGATATGCTGAAACTGCTTCAAGCCAAGAACCTAGTCCTTCCCAGCCTTAAAACCTTCCTAGCATAGTTAGACAAACCAGTGACCCGGATGGGATTTATTTTTTATCTTTTTGCTCATAAATCCAGTATTTTTATTTCTCTTTATGCTTTGTGGATTACTAGTATCAATGATAATCAACTATTTTTGTGCTCTAACTGTTTGTTGATGCTTCTTAGTTGACTAATACCATTAGATTGATAAATGATGCTTGACTCCATGATTGCATTTGAAGTAGAACCAATGACCATGAGTAATGTCTATTAAAATCTGGTTATCTAACATAATTATGCAACTTTGCGATGATGCCAAAAGGGGGGAGATAGATTGTGCTTTTTACTTTGAACTATGATATTTATAACCTAATGAACCTGGTCCTTGATGATTTGTGACTTTAAAATGGAAAGTGTTCTGACATTGTGTTGATGTTGAGCTAAGTTGACACAGGGCCTATGCTTATGAAATCATAGAGTTTGTCATCATCAAAAGGGGGAATTTATTGGCCCAAGTGAAGTTTGTTTTGATGATTGACAAAGGAACTCAAGCATGAACCAGATCCATACACAGTGTACACAGACACGGGAAGATTCAAGCACAAGGCATGCACATGAAAGAGATAAGCTTAAGTGATTATATCTGATATTTTCTGAGCGAAAAGATTGCATAAGTAATAAGGAGAAGGACTCCTTACTCGAGAGAACTCTATCCTAGATAAGGGAGGAGTTAGAAGATGAAGATAACTAGAACTCTTCCACCAAGGAAGAGTATAGCATTAGAACTCTAGTTATTCCCATTCTACTAACTCTATAAATTACAGGATGTTTTTATTTTACAGGTGACGCACAAACGCTGAAGTTAAACGTGAGTTGAGAGCAAAATAGCAAGGCATTTTGCAACCAATTCTTGTGTGATTCAAGTGTGCGAACCTGAATCTACATGAACCAGATAGAAGAACCACTTCCAAGTGTATGTCTTTTATTCTAGTTCAATTGTAGTAGGGCTTTTCAAATTGTACCTTTCAACTTTATCTAGAGGCAATTGTATTAGGTACTCTGAGTATTCAAGCTAGAGTTAACTTGAAGTTGTCGCACCAGTTAGAGGTTGGTTGCCACAACGGAATTAAAGGTAATCCTTAGGTTTAAAAAGATTTTTGTAAATGTTGTTTTGGCTCAGTGATTTAATGAAGTATTGGGAAAAATCCAATTGAGTAGTAGGTCGTGATTTTTTTTACCTTTTGAGCCAGGTGTTTTTCACGTAAAATACTTGTGTTCTTTACTTTTCGCATTTACTATTTCTGCAACAGTAGTATAAGGAACACATAGAAGAACCAAGTCTTTCTATAATCAGTGCACGCGAAAATTAGACACCACACAAATCACCCCCTCTGGTGTGGCATTGAAGTATAAAACATCACTTACTAATTCGGGTTTACGTCGTATAAAGAACTCACTATGGGAAGCTTTAATATTCCTTAATCACTACTGCAGAAAACTTTATTTTCAAGGTTCAGACTCTAGATCTCTAATCAAGAGATGGAAAAAGAAAAAGTAAAATTAAAAGCGAAAGATGTCTAGCTACAAAATCCCACAGTGGAACAGCTGAAAGAAAATAGAAAGAAATTGCAAATGACTTAAAGTCCAAAGCCTTTAGAATCTTGTTAATTAATATTAACAGTCACCAGTCTATGATTACAGGATATTGCATCTCTTTCTTGAAAATAAATGAAGGCTGTCACAAAAACAGGGTAGATAAAAAAAGACATTTACATATTTTGTTGATCCTATCCTACGGAAAAATAATAAAAAGGAAAAAAGATGCAAATATAACGTCTTTCTATAGAAGTTAAATCCTTCTAATAATGAAACTGGAAAATTCAATGAAGTAATTACTTGTCCTCCTCAAAATAAGATGAGAGCTTGTCTCTTAACGTATCAAGCTCAACCACCATTGTTCCTTGAACCTGTTGAACAATACACAAAAGGACAAAAAACAGCAAGTAGGAATTAGGATAATAGAACAAACAAAAATCTACTTAATGCATCAAATTAAATTTCTAAATTATACTCTCTTTGTTCCAATTTATGTGACAGTAGTTGAAATTCGAGAGTCAAATAACTTCTTCTTTTGACTGCAATTCTTTCATGTCATTTAAATATTTTGAATTATTAATTATTGTGAGCAGTACTTTTTACGTAGTTTCTAAATATGTAAATTTTATTTTAAAAAACTTAAAAATTCTATGTCTAAATTTACGGTCAAAATTAAAAAATTTGCTCTCGAGAAACGAAAAGTGTCACGTAAATACATACAGAGGAAGTAAAAAAAAAAAAAAAAGCAGTATCTCCTTCTGTCTCTCTGTTCTTTACCTTTCCTTCTTCTTTTTTTTGTCTTTTTCCTATGCTCTTAATCAAATATGCCCATTTGCCATCAAATGCCAAAAGATGAAAATAAGGAAAGAAAAGGAAATTTTAGTAATACCTGAAAATGCAAGGTATAGAATACTCTATCTTCAAATGTTTCAAAACAAGATGAATTTAGTAGAGAAAGTCCTTCATCCTCTAATTCTGATACTGCCTCACCAAATGAACATTTATTGATCTTCAAAGTAGATATCTGAATTACTACTTCTTTATCACCTACTTCACTTGCTGAAATTACTAATGAAGAGATCTCATTTCCTCCTCTTCTTTTTTGCTTGTTAAAATCAGCTGAATTTTCTTTATTAGAGATGGTTCTTGATGTAAGTTCTTCTTTCTTCTCAATTAGTCTTTCCACTTCAATTTGTAACTCTGGTATGTATTTTAGCACTCTTGATATTGTCGATGGAATGCTTAGTTTTTTCTGTCAACATAAAAAATGATGAAGTTTGGTCAGCGCATATTAAGAATATACTACTTCAAAACTATGTTTAAATCTTGAGCTCGGAGATTGAATTGAAAAATAGGTTAAAAATAATAATAATAATAATAATAAAAATAATCCATACCGTATGGTCAGAAGCTGGAAGCAAAGAACGAAGAGAAGAATATAAGGTATTGATTTTTTTTCTGCGATCGCGCTCACTAGCATTGTGATTAAGTTTCTTAACCATCTGATCAGGTTGATCACCATTATTAATAATCTGATCAAATTTATTTGAATCACAGTGTTGAAGTAATCTTGTTTGAGATGATGATAAATTATCTGAAGTTTCTGCGGCAGTGTTTATAAATTGATGGCTTATGGGATCCTCCAAAAGCCATCCAAAATGGTCAGAAAACAAAGGAGAAGAAGAAATGGCTAGCATTTTGCTAATACTCTGAAAACTTAATTAATTTCTGCTTTACTAATTTTTGTAAGACAATATTGCAGTCGTTATATTTGTGATGAGAATTTATACAAATAGCTTTGATCAGGTCATACCTCAGCATAAGACTTAAATAATTATCAATTGGTAGTTATATTAACTATATTTAGTCTTTTCTTCTTAAAATAACAAGCAATAGACTTGTGTATTTCGATGGACAATGTTTATCAGCATAAGAAATGTATATACTTGTAGGGTGTAATTGCGTGTGGGATCCATGGCATACACAAGCCTTGGGTAAGATTAGTCGAGTATTTAGTGTCCATGGCACGTGTAAGCACGTTTAATCAAATTAAACAGCAGCAGAATTGAGTTACGAGTTCGGCCAAACCCAGTAATTTTGTTAAAATTATGTATTTATTTTAAAAGATCAATTCAATGCGTACAAAATTATTAATTTAGGACCTAATTAACTGATCAAACTCAATGTATATCTACTTAAATATTTTAAACATATACTCCCTTTGTTTTAATTTATGTGAACATATTTGACTGGGTACAGAATTTAAGATAAAAGAGAGCTTTTGAACTTGTGGTGTAAAATGAGATATATTTTGTATGGCTATAAATTATTGCATAAAGGTAAATTATTTTTAAATATGAAAAAGGGTCATTCTTTTTGGCACGAACTAAAAAGGAAATAAGTTCACATAAATTAAAACGGAGGGAGTATATTTTTATTAGGCCAAATACCTAGACGATCCCTTAAACATAGTTCCAATTTCCATTTTGACACCTTAACTAAGCTCATTACCTATTGAATACTTCAACCCAAATCAAAGTATGTCTATTGAACACAAAAAACCTAGTCCCAAAAAAAAATGTGTGAAGCTCAAACGCCGCTTGCATGGAAATATAACCGATGAAAAAATGTCAGATCATTAAAACAAGCCACATCAGTAACAAAAAATAGCCATGTTGTTATTTTTTTTGTTGTAAAAAGGCAACCTAGCCGCTGGACCCCTTACTCATCGTCGTTCATCTTCTCCACTCCCATCGTGTCGTCGGTTATCTTCTTTTTTAATTTCCCTATGTCGTTGGTCATCCCCTTTCCCCCTCCCACATTCTTCTTCTACTTTCGTTCAGAGCCCCCTAACTCGTCGGGGAAGAAATCTAAAACTGACATTTGAGAAAATTATTTTTATTTTTGAAATTTTTTTGCTATAACAACAAAAAATTTCAGATTTGTGTTGAAAGAAGATGGCGAACCTGAAGAAGATGGTGAGCCGAATCTGGAAAAATTAAAAAATAATGGATAGAATTTAGAAAAAATCAGTCATTAATGTATTTATTTGCCCAAATTTGCTGTTGGAGAAAAAAAGAAACATTCTTCTGTCTTTCTTTTGTCAGAGTTCAGAAGCTGCAAAATAGAGCAATAATGGAGATGCAACACAATTTGGTGAATCAATTTTGGTGTTGTTGATTTTTCTCTTTAATTTTTTGGTGTTGTTTGTTGATTGGGTTAATTGTTCTTAGAATTTATTAGTGTGTGCAATGATGATATTCTGACCCGGACCAGCAGTGATGGCGGAGGAGTGATAGTGATGGTGGAGATAAGGTGGTTATGGGTGGCCTATAAAAAAATTAATTCCGATTTAAACAAAAAAGAAAAGAAAAACATGATCTCAAACTCATTAAATTCAAGAGCCTAAGAGGGGGTGAAATACAACTCTCTTGCCATGTCAGTTTTTGTGTTTAATAGGCATACTTTAATTTTGGGATGAAGTGTTCAATAGGTAATGGGCTTAGTTAAGGTGTCAAAATAGAAATTGGAACCATGCTTAAGGGGTCGTCTAGGTATTTGGCCTTTTTATTATGTTTGTACTCATTGTCACAAAATTTACCACAATAACAACAACAACATACCCAGTATAACCTCACATAGAGGGGTATGGGAAAGATACTATGTACGCAGACCTTACCCCTACTTTATGAAGATAGAGATGTTATTTCCAATAGAACCCCGGCTTAGGAAAGCATAAGCACTACACTAATGAAAAGAAAGACGAGAAGGGACAACACCGAAAGCCATGTAAAAGCAGTATAAAAAATAACAAGATAGTAAGATGACCAAAATGAAAGAAATGATATGTAGTCATAGAAACCTAATACCAACAGAATGCAAGAGTACGTACTAATACTCTCGATATGAACCACCTAACCTACTACCCTAATCTTCGACCTCCACACCTTCCTATCAAGGGGTCATGTCTTCGGTCAGTTGTAGCAGCGCCAGATGATGCCTAATCACCTCTCCCCAATTCTTTTTCGGCCTGCCTCTACCTCTCCTCAGGCCCTCCAATATCATATCACACCTCCTCACTGGGACGTTGTATTTCTCCCCCTCATATGTCCAAACCACCTAAGCCTCGCTTCCCGCATCTTGTCTTCAATAGGGGCTACACCCACCTTGTCGCTAATAATCTCATTACTAATCCTATCTAACCTGGTGTTCCCGCACATCCTTATTAATATTTTCATCTCTACTACCTTCATATTCTATATATGGGAGCTCTTAACTGGCCAATACTCTACCCCATACAATATAGTCGGTCTGACCACCACTCTGTATAACTTACCTTTAAGTTTTAGTGGCACCTTCTTGTCACACAAAACACCAAAAACGAGTCTCCATTTTATCCATCCCGCCCCAATACGATGTGTGACATGCATTTTCATCAATCTCCCCATCTCCTTGAATAATAGACCCAAGGTACTTAAAATTTTCTCTCCTAGGAATAACTTGTAAATCGAGCCTCACCTCCCATTCCACTCCCTAAGTCTCAACACTGAACTTATACTCTAAGTATTCTGTCTTAGTCCTGCTCAACTTGAAACCTTTAGACTCCGGGGTCTGCCTCTAAACCTCTAGCGCCACATTAACACCACCTCACATCTCGTCAATCAGTACAATATCATCTGCAAACAACATGCACCATGACACCTTCCCTTGGATGTGGTACGTCAGCACATCCATCACCAGGACAAATAAAAAAGGGCTGAGTTTCGACCCCTGGTGCAACCCCATCATCACCATATAATAGTCCGAGTCCCCTCCCACTGTTCTCACCTGGGTTTTTGCTCCATCATACATGTTCGTAATTGTCCTAATATAGGGAATAGGTACACCTCTACTCTCCAAACATCTCAACAAAACCTCCCTCACAACTTTATCATAGACCTTTTCTAAGTCGATGAACACCATATGCAAGTCCCTCTTCCATTGTCACAAAATATAGTGATAGTAATATTCTACATCTGTCGACTTATATTAAGTCATGAGTCCGTCTTTAAGTAGGCGTTTGGTTATAAGTTTTGGATTTTTTTTTTCCAAAAAAAAAAGTCAAATATGTTTTTGTTTATAGAATTAATCTAGTTTTTGGGAGATTTTGAAAACCAAAATTTCAAATCTCAAATATAACTTAAGACCTCTTTTTGGGTCAAATCATGACAATTTGGAAATTTTTAGCTGGAAAAAAATAGCTCTTTAACATTTTTAAACTTGCCCCAAAATTCATGTCCAAACATATTTTCAATTTCAAATCAAACTTCACCCAAATTAGTTTTTTCAAAAACTATTTGGAAATCTATGTCCAAACGGGTCCTAAATTTCGACAAAAGTGCTTTTCTCAACTTAATTACGACTATTGTTTAGTTTCTTCTTTTTCTTTTTCTGCAAAATATAGAGTTGTGACAATCATATTTAACAGCCATTATATTTTATTTCTAGTTCCTAAAGAGACAAATATTAGGACTACAGTCATAGACCAGTATCAAGTCATGCGTCAAAGATGAGGAATTCAAGTATCACAAAAGTAAAAGGCTATGTCTTTGAGACTTTTATCAGAGATTGACAACCTTCGTTTTATTTTAATCAAATTTAACTGCCAGTTACTTCATTTGAGTTACTTGATAGAGCTCAATATGATACAGTGAAAAGAAATACATCTTCTCGATGGGTGAAAGAATTCTTTTTCTCCAAAATGGCTAAGCAGTGCTTTGATTGGCGTAGTCACTAAGCAAGGCGTTTTAACAGTCCAAAGTATAAAAATAAAAAGAAACTGCAAATGGTTTAAGGTCCAAAGTGTTTTGGTCTTGTTAATTAATATTAACAGTCACCATGTCAATGATTACAAGATATTGCCTCTCTTGAAAATGAAGGCGTTCACGATTACAAGGAAAAACAAAAAGACATTTACATTTTTTGCTGTCCTGTCCTATGTAAAAAGGAAATTAAACTGCAAATACAACGTCTTTCTATGTAAGCTAAATCCGTCTAACAATTAAACAAGAAATTCACTGTGGTAATAACTTGTCTTCCTTCTCAAAATAAGATGAGAGCTTGTCTCTTAACGTATCAAGCTCAACTACCATTGTTCCTTGAACCTGCTTAACAATACACAAAAGGAAGGAATTAGGATAATATATTGAACAAACAAAAACTCTTCAGGAAAATATACTTTATTCATCACTTTTCTTTTCCTTTTTTCCTATGCTCTTAATCAAACATCCACTTTGCCATCAAATGCCAGAATTTGAATATAAGAAAATTGAAGGATATTTTAGTAATACCTGAAAATGCAAGGTATAGAAGACCCTATCTTCTAAAGTTTCAAAACAAGATGAATTTAGTAGAAGAAGTCCTTCATCCTCTAATTCTGATACAGCCTCAGCAAATGAACCCTTATTAATCTTCAAAGTAGATATCTGAATCACTACTTCTCTATCACCTACTTCACTTGCTGAAATAACTAATGAAGAACTCTCAACTCCTCCTCTTCTTTTTTGCTTGTTAAAATCAGCTGAATTTTCTTTATTGGAGTTGGTTCTTGATATAAGCTCTTCTTTCTTCTGAATCAATCTTTCCACTTCATTTTGTAACTCTTGTATGTACTTTAGAACTCTTGATATTGTCGATGGAATACTTAATTTTTTCTGTCAACATAAAAGTTGATGAAGTCTCGTTAGCATGCATATAATATCAATATAAACTAATTCAAAATTAAGTTTAAATCTTCAGCTCAGAGATTTAATTGATAATTAATGGTTTAATCA